CAAGTGACCGTTTTTACTGCAGAACCATACAGTGCTGCAAAGAAGGGATTCGGTCATCTTCAATCCAGAGGTGGTTGCTTCCCCAGCCAACTAACTGCTGGTGCTGTGACAAAACAATATCCTTGCACCTTCCCCCCTGTCCCGGTTAAGTTTAGCACCTGCAAAGCACAGCAAGACATGCAATGAAGAGCTATCGGTCAAGGAAGACGTGGTCAGTGCGCAGTAGGGAACCTGACGAAAACAGGGGAGGATCCCAAGGAACCGCTAGGAAAGAGAGGGTAACCACACAGCCACCAAACGAGACTGTTACCTTCATCGTCAAGCGTGGGGTAACTCCTGGCCGCACGGAGATCATACTGCGTTTCGTCCTTTTCAGAGGGAAGCTGGCTAGCTGAGAATGCGGCTGTTGGACCGGCCGTCTTGACGGCTAGCAAGGCACTACGCCCTTTCTTTGAGGGAGATGACTTCAGAGCTGGATGAGAAGAGTGAAAGAGAAGACAGAATTACCACCACCACCACCCCCCACTGTCACACCAAAGCTCTTCTCCCTTCACAGGGAGAGGCCTCTGCCCTCCGACACCCACGCGTCTGCTCTGCAAGTGCCATCTCCAAAGGACCAAGCCCAAGTTGGGCTGCAGGGAGAGCTGCTGGGCGGGAGCCTGAGCAGACCAAAGCAAGCCGTGACGACCCAAGGGCTTTGCAGTTCCCCAGCTTTGCCCTCTACTGCAGTGAAAAAGGCTGCTCAGACTCCGTCCCAGAACACCTCCATGTGGACTGAAGCAGCAAGGCTTGCCTCACGTCACAAGGGCAACAGCTCCTGGACGAGGTACTTACAGGAATTCTTTCGAAACACCGTGTTTGTCATGAATTTGAAGAATCTCTCTGCGTAGAAGCTGGGTCTGTGTACTGACACCGTGTCCTGCAAAGGCAAGAAGCAATTGTTTAATTTTAAAATAATCCCTCAAGGCAGAATTTCTATAACCAATGCAGTCTTCTTATTCCAACACTTAGCGCTGATAAAGCCTTAAAATGGAAAGGCTTAACCGAAATGATCTGATTAATGCTATAAATAGGCCTGGAGCGTTGCCTTTGATTTGATTGCATTTGATTATATTCTTGCTGTAATTTTATAATGGATCTTGGTGATTTTATTCCTTTGTAGACTTCCTGGATTTTTCAAATATTAGCCTGATTACGTACATGGAATTTCTTCTCGCTTTGCTGGCTGACATTCAAAGCATAGCTGGGTACCTTTGCATACAACATGGACACCAAAATTCAGCCAACGGTCTCCATATATTTCAAATGTTTTGGACTTTTTGTTTAAAATAGTAAAACTGAAGCTGTCTCTGCTTCTGATGTTCAGCTATGACTTGGCACCTACGTGTTTCCTTTGCCTTATTATTTAAGGGAAGCTTAATTTAGGGGATACGATGCTGAAAAATAGTTTCCACATCCAAGGTTGCTCTTTCGTAAACACACACCTGGCTGCTGCAGAAGACAAGACAGCAGGGAAACACTGCAAGGGATTTATTAACAAATAGGTTACTGAAGTGGAAACACAATCACCGAAGAGAGCAAACGCAGGGCTCCTCAACACGTACACGAATGCACGCGCCTTGTGCGTACAGCTCCTGGTATCATGGGGAGGAGGAAGATGACAGATGGGAGCAGAGGAGGAAAGCTGGTAGCACGACAGCTAAACATGCGAGGAGGTGGGGTGAGCAAGAAAACCTGATTGGGAATCAGTGGCACTACACCACTGTGGAGGCATAAGAGGCAAGAACTATTCCTTTCATCAGCTTCGACTGTGCCAGCTCAGGCACTATAAATAGCAAGGTAATCAGCACCAACTAGCGTGAAGGAAGCCAAGGCAGGTAATCCTGCTGAGGCCGGGACAATTCCTGCCTCTGTAGGGGCACTCACCCCATCGTGGACGAGGGCCTTCCAGGTATGTTCCAGCTTCTTGATGAACCTAATTCCAGGGCAGAAGCGCAGAGAAAGAGAGACTGATTGAGGCACGCACTCTATATCTAAGCCACCTTCCATACCCCACAGAGGAGGGATCACTGAGCTGCTAACGCTCCCTCCTTCACCCGGAGCGTAGCTTTCCTCCAGCCGAGAGAGGTCGGCCGAGCACAGCGGCATCTCTGCAGTCAGGTCAGGACTGCCCGGGAACCCTACGGGGAAGGAGGAGCTGGGCTGGGAGAGGGGCAGAAAATTCACCTTCCACCCCTGGAGAGATGCTGCCCAGCCCAGGCAGAGAGATGGGAACCCTCTTAATGAGCAACTCTGTGTATGGCTCTGTCTCACCAGCTGTTCCAAGGACAGGATGAAGATCCAGAGCCCCTGACACGCATCGACAGCCGGCTTTAGGCAGCCTGCCTACTCGTTACAAAACTGCTCAGGAGAGGAAAACCTTCCCGCTTTCATTCAGGATTAAAACAGACACTTAAAGGACAGACAAAGTTACCTACCTGTATGATTGAAGAATATCTATTATCCCTACGTGTAGCAGGAGACGCTCTCCTTTGCCATTCACTGCTGGGATTCCTCCCATCCTGCAGGTAAAACAAAACCTCAGCGAGTGCCGCCTCAAAAAGAGCAGCTGTAATATCCCCAAGACCTGCGGAAGGGTGGACGGCAGCACCGATAAGAGGGCTCCAACATGGTGGTCAGACACAACGCAAAACCCGTCAAATCCCTCTGTGCACAGCCACGGACGTCACCTACTGACCCGGGCCAACTCACACAAGGTGTCCCCGGGTTAGAGCTGGCCTGGATCGCCAAACACCAACTACCAGGACAGGACCCCACAGCTCTGCCTGGGCCAGACAGCACCACAGCATTTATTTCTTAGCTACAGGACAGTTTACTCCAGGGATCACAGTATTTATCAGGTCAGCGTGAGCTGCCTGCCTATCAGGGCCTTTAAGGACAAGGGTATTTCCAGTCCCATCCACACTAACATCAGCCCCACCAAAGGTGCAGCAAGCACCAGCACACGACAAAAGCACGCAGGCATTGGGCAGGCCACTGCAATTAATGATGCTACTTGAAAGAATGGAATCACCAAAGTATTATCCCGGCTCCACTGTGACTGATCCTCCATCGAGACCAGAGCAGCTGGTTTTAGACAGCAGCAAACAGCAAACGCCACAATTACCAAGCGAGCTTGGTCCCCATAGCCAGAGGGACAGTCACAGGAGCCACCTGCAGCCCAGGAGCCACAGCTCGGGCACAGCACAGCATGGATTTTGGGCAACTCCCTTCCACAATCCACAGCTCCACCAGTTCCTCCAGCACTTGGCTTCACTGTGGTGTGTTAGCTGCACTGGGATGGCCTCAGGGTACTGTCAGGGATTCCAAAGATGGAGCAATGGAGAACAAACTCCAGGCTCCTAGGGACAGGCTGATCCCTCCTCCGCTCCAGTATCTGGATGCTGAGCTAGAGCTGAGCTAGTCTGTCCTCCCCAGCGCACGGGTGGATGTTTAGAGGCTGTTACAGGAGCTGACAACCTACAGACTGGCCCAAGAAGAGAGACTGGTGTGAGGCTGGAGTCTTAGAGAAGTATTTCCCACCCCAGCTTCCCCCGTCGCACCACACTGCTTTGCTGGCAGCGGTACCATCGCCCCCAGGAGCGATGCTCACTCTGACAGTTCATGGGGGCCTCAGTCAGGGACTTACTGCTCCAGCCTCCACCTCCACCCCTCCCAGCAGGGCAAAGAGAACCAGGTTTCCACCTACGTGTCATCTGTGTCTATGGACTCCCCCCGGGCAGCCCCACCCTGGATGGACTCCATGGCCGTGGAGTAAAGTGCCTTCTGCCCCACGGGACGCTTCTCATCCGACGTGCTGTGGGCTCCCTCAGACTGTCGCTCCCGTTCTTGCTGGTCTATGTTATGAACCCCAAGCAGGAGGCTGTAGTCCATGATCTTAAAACTTTCCAATACCTACAGGTTAGTATTGAGTTTAGGAACAAAGGACAAAATATCAGGCCAGCAGCTCAAATACAGCACAGATCCCAAAGCACGGAACAGCCCCATCCACATTCCCACTAACAACGCCTTTGCCAGAGCTTGAACGTTTCTGAACCAACACTCGTCTCTGGACTCGATCACATAGTTTGGTCACCCTACAAGCAACCCAAAGGGTTGAAGGCTTGCAAATAACACTGTTGTACCATGTACCTGCTGCACATGGTACCGGAAAAAAATTTGTTTAGTCTGCAAGTGGATTTTATTTACAAAAAATTAATTTACAGCTACAAGTGGAGCAGGCTGCCACAACCTGATGCACCAGGCCCAGGAACAGAGCCTTAGCCCGCAGAGGCTGTCATGAGATCCAATGCCACTGCTTTGTTTTCAGGGAAAAGGGCAGTAGAAGGGATTTATCCTGCTTTGGGATTAGCAGATTAGAGAGGTTCTCAATCATTTGCTCTTCCTCATGCTCGAGAGCCACAGACCTTCATTAACGAGCTCCCCCCCTCCTTACCAGACAGTCTCGTTGCAATGTTTTCACCAACGCACTGAAGGTGTCTGCATCCAACATCAGGCCCTCGGGCATGTCTTGTATGAAGTCTAGATCCTTGTACGTGGGGCTGGACTTTTCTTTTTCCTTCTTGGATGCCCGGCGTTTATAGGTCGAGCCTTTCAGGTCAAATTTCAGGTGCATTTTCACCACACGGGGCAGAATGTTGTTCATCACCACCACGCGGATGTTTTTGCCCCCTGATTGCACACAGTACAGTCCGTAAAACTTCGGCAGCAGCGTCCGTGGGTTCTGGTTCAGATTCTGCAGCAGGGTTGGAAAAAAAAAAAAAGCATGGGGGGAGGTCATTTTGGCAGAAGACTCCTGCTGCGTTCAACAGCAAGCACGTTAACAGACCTTGGAGCAGTCAGACCAGGGTTGCTTCACCTAGAGATTTTCTGAGCTTTACACCAGAGCTGACTGACCACATTTGATGAGCTCCTGCATTTCATTGGCTTTAGGACCTGGAAATACCACTACGCCTTGAATACAGGGAATGAGATGTACAGCACTCTCTGGGCAAATAACCAAGGCCGGAAATTCCCCGTTTTCCCCATCAACGGCAGCTAAAAAAGGGAAACCAAACTGGTGGAGAAATAAACACAGTAAGTGGGAACTTCAAATTTAAAAATAACAGCTATCTTCATCTCTTCAGAAGTGTCAGAAATCAGGAGCCGTTCTCAGGCCCAGAATAAACCAGGGACACAGTATTTTTTAAACAAAACGTTCATTTTCTCCTCCTTTTGCAGAGTGTGCTTTATAAAACACAGTCGGCCAGAGAGCACGGATATCCTGCTCTGCTATCGTGTTGGTTTTTTCGGCAGCGGTATTATTAGGAATGACATGACAGGCACGATTTGCTTGTTCAGCTTTGGGAAAATTTGGGAAGGAAACAGAACATCTCTGCACGCTACGGAAGAAAGGACAGAGCTGACAGATTCTCTGACAGACAGCAGAAACACAACTGTATTAAAATTTCATGCCCCCCCTCACCCCACCGGGCACAGGAGCGAGCCTCTTTGTGAGCGCGCCGTTCAACATGGTGCGAGCTACGAGCAACGGAGGCAGGCAAGACCGAACGGAAAGAGCGCTTGCCCAGCTTTAAACTCAGGATGAAACCACCCTATTGCCTTTCCACTGACCCCTTGTACACTGATGGGTTTCCCAAGAACAGCAGAGAGATCGCGCGCTGGCACCACAGTAACCCAAGAACACTGGAATGCTACGGCAAGCAGCGCATAACTGCACCGGACCGGTAAGCTCGGTTTAATTCGTTACACTGATTGCTAGCCAGGACAACTCCAGAATTCAGGATGACAGCGCGACCCATTCAATATTCTCCTCCCGATTTACTACGTACGTTAGGCAATGGGCAAGGCTTCCCAGGAAAGCTCATCCTGTCCAGGAACCTGACTGTCACTTACAAAAGCCCGCGACTGGCTGTCAGTTATACACAGACACCCAAGACCCTGCCTCGCTTCGGCAAAGTTCCCCTCCCTGGTAAATATTGAGTGAGGAAAGTATCTTCATAAAAACAGCGTATGACCACATAAATCAAATCCACCGCAAGACGCACGCAGGTGGGGCAGCATTGCCATCACCTTCTCCTTGGTATCTCCAGGGCAAACAAATCCCTGGTGGTTCTAACTGAGTTTCAGTGCCCTCCCCTGTAGAGCTGGACCCTTCACCACAGTTATGCAGGGAGGCAGCTCCTGGTTTATGTGCCAAAGCATCGGGTTCGGTTCTGATTTACTACTGGTCACCACACGCGAGTCCTCTGGGTCTCAATATATTGCCTTGCTAGCCCTGAGATTTAGGCACCCACTATCTGCAGCAGCCTGGATGTGCAAAGCCGGCTGGCACCACAGGAGTCTTTAGCTTGGCACTGCAGCCAGCGGGGGCCAGGACAACCAGCAACTGCCTTCAGAGTTAAACAGCGGGTATGGGAGAGAGCCAGGACGCCAGCAGTTTCCCCACAGAACCAAGGTGGTTGAGTTATTGCAATCAACAACCATCCTCAAAGCCAGGCTGAGGCAGATGCATGGCGCCAAGCGAAGAATGAACTGGTGCTGGGAAAAGGACACCCAGAAACACACATCTGGGAAGCCATTTCCAGGCCAGAACATGCCTCCAACCTACGGCACAATTATCTGCCTCAAGTTTACCCATGGAGTTTGCAAATAATTGGCAGGATTTGTGCTTCTGGGACTGGCTTCGTGACACACTGTTAACGTTGTCCATGGCACGGGGCAGGCAGGCCACAAGAAACCCGGGTGGAGGACATGCCCTGTGCGATGCTTCGGACACGACAAAGCTGAGTCGGGTCCGAGGTGCTGGGTGATACACACCATGTAGTAGCCAGGAAGGAGCTTCTGTAGGAATTCAGCTTCTTTGTGCATCACAGTTTTTATGATGAATTCATCGTCGCTGGTGACATAGAAGAGGGAGCCGCTGGCACCAGGGTTTGACAGCTCTATCAGAGGCTCGTTACATAATGAATACTAGGGAGGAAAAGAAAAAAAAAAAAGATGTTTTTAGCCCCCACTCATTGCACATTGAGTTCCATGCCCCCAAGGGCTTTCCCCAGCGTGCTGTCTCCCTGTGAGATTAAGGGGTAGCGAGAACTATTTTCATTGCAGGTTAGGGTCTAAGCAGCAAAGCTGAGGGACAGTTTACAATTAGAGACCGAGATTACAGCTCATTCAGAGCATCCCAACTGCTCAGAATCAAGCTAATAATCTGCTTTCAGCAACATCCAGCCTTCATAATGACACCTGATCTTTTCCCATTATGCCTGTACCACATTTAGGCTTCTTTCAGCCCATTACCGCAAGCGCAGATGGCAAGACAGGATCGTAAGAGCCACGACAGTCTGCTCAGGGCACCACGTATCGCCGCGCTGGAGGGGACGCAGCGCGCTGGCTGTTCTCAGCAGCCTCCTCTGGCCTTGTGCTCCCCTCTTACAGAGGATTTTTACAGCCACGTCTCACCCCCTCAATCCTGCTAGACACATGTGAAAAGTATTAGACTGGGTGTCCAAAGGAGGAGAGAGGGATCAGCGCTGTGTGAGCACGGGAAGGGGCACTGCACCGGGAACTGAACTGGGAGGACACTTCTAGACACCAGTATGCAACAGCAGGTCCTCAAATGAGGACTTGCCTAGCAACAGGAAAGAAAAAAAGAAGAAGAAAGCGCAAGCACGCACGTGCACTTTGCCGCTAGGTACCAGCCCCGAGGTAACTGCGTAGGTCAAGTGGGCTCAGGGCGGCATCACGTCAGAGCTGCCACAGCAAGAGGTGAGATGGGGAGAGGGAGGCAGGGTATGTAAGGGACAGAATCAGAGCAATAAATTAAACGCTCATCATTACGTACGGAAAACAGCTTTCAGCACTGCACAGATTAATGTTCCAAGACTTTATCAAGTTAATTATCTCATGCATAATTAAAGGCATTTGCTGCTGTGGCAGGCAAGAGAGAATCAGGGGAAGCAGAAGCAACAAATCAGAGCCGTGACCTTTGCAATTGAGGCAGGCTCTTTGCCTCACCCAAGTTTTGAACCACTCATCAAATCAGCCAGCGTTATCTCGGGTGGCACAGATGGGGACCCCTGTTACTGCCAAACCACGCAACGGCGCAGATTTGTTTCTACTCGTAGGTGTTCAGCTACACGATTACCCCTGTCTATGGCTGAAGTCAGAGAAAAAGGGCTTAGAAAGGGGGAGGGCATGCGCTCATTTGGATGATTTCCCTTCCCTGGTTCAACAAATGTCCTTTTCTAAAGAGCAGGACGTCACAGACGTGCAAGGGACCAATTCGACCCCAGGGTACTCCAAGCCCCAACAGCTTGTCCTATCAGGTATTTTAAAAACAGCCTTTCCAGCTCTGAGGAGCTTTCTGAGCACAAGAACAAGATGTATTTTATTCTGCCTTTGTAAGATGATTAAAATAACTACGCTCACATAGCTCTCGAGTGATTACACAAGGAAAAATTCCCATCTTTGTCCTCAGAGCCCCAGGGAATATTACAGGGCTGCACCCAGCAGAACACAACTCCCTTTGCTGGTAAACACAGGGAGTTATTGTCACCACAAACAACAGAGGGGGAACCCCATCACACAGCTTACAGAGCTCGCGCTGCATGCAGGTCCTTTCCCTTCCCGCCAGCGTAAGCTTGCAGCTGCCTCTTAGCAAAGGAAGACTTGGGCTGAGTGGTGCTGGACTTGCTGGGACTGTCACCGGATCTCCCCCAAAACTGAACAGAGCCCCTAAATCCACAGCCTGTTCCCACTCCTTGCTGCGATCACAACGATTCCTCAACTCTTTTCTGTCCCTTTTAGGCAAGAATTGCTGACAGCCTTGTTTTAGGGGCAAATTTCTTGTGTTACTCCAGACCACCTCAAATAAAGGAGGAGAGACAGAGACATCCAAAAACATATCCATACCAAATAATCATCTGGGCGGATCCCAAAGAGTTCTCGGAAGTACCGAAAAGCCACTGGTGCATAGGTCTTGAACCTGAAGTCAGCATAATGATGAGCCGGGGTGAGATTACTGCCTTCGCTGCAGAGAACAGACATTGCATGAGCAGGGCATTACCATTACCCAGACATGTACAGTCACATCAAGGCTACTCTATATTTAAGATGAATTGAGCCTTGCAAGAAGACTTCTTAGGAACAGCAACAAAAAATATCGTTCTTCTGTGGCAAGACAACAGGAAAACAGGTTTAAAATTATCTGCCAAAATCTATTTCCAAAGAGCGCAAGGAACAACCACTTGCCAAGCAGAATATGGTTACACAGAGAATGTAACTTCCGTGAGCTTTGTTTATTCACAGAGTTAAAGAGTTCCCAGAATGAGTTTCTTTCGCCTCAAACACGGTATAATTGCATGGAGGAAGTTCTAGATGGGCAGGTAGGAAGAGAAGCACGTAGGAAGGCTAACAAAGCCAGGCACGTAGTGCTGCACCTTACATTGTACTTCCTTGCAAGCCAGTGCACTGCGAATCTGACACTTCCCACTGTTAGATTTGTATGCGATGGATGCATATTTAAAACATTCAGAGCATCCAAATCTGTGATCTAAAGGCAGATGGAAGCTCTCTTGAACAATCAGTGAGAGGAAAAGAAAGAACTCAACTGTTCATTTTGTTTCCCCTGTCTCCTTTACCTTGGGAAAAAAATGCTCTCCACCACGTAGAAGTCCTGCATCAGGACATCTCTCTCTGGCTTGGAGCTCAGATTGCCGACAGTATAGCCTATGCCCAGCTGGATGGCCCCCTTCAGAGTGGATGAGGTGGTCTGGCAGAAAGAAAAGAGCAGTCAGTGAGCATTTTGCAGCAGACGATTGCAGCAACATCCCCTACATTACAATACAATTGTGCCTATGACTTCTGTAGGGTCATCTCGGGCGCTACATGCTGCTGAACAAGCTCAACCAGCCGCTGAAGAGATGCGTTACAGCTTCCAGAAGGTTTGCTGTTTGCAAGGTTATGCACTACAAGGTGCCACATAAAATCTAAATCAGATTGGTAGCTATTAACAAACTGAACCAGAAAGCTCAGTTGTGCTATTGCTAACCTTGGGCCCCAACTTCTCAGCCTACAGGTAGCTGCCAGTCCCCACCCCCCAAAAGCAAACCTTTTTGTAGGTGGTTTCACCAGAAGCATCGACGCCTCGATGGCCTATCTTCTTTCCTTGGCCAGGCTGTCCTGGTAGCGATGGTCCCTGCAATGAAAGAGCACAGCTAAAGCCCAGAGCAGGAGCTGACCTGGCCAACAAGGACAAGCAGAGCAGCACAGGCACAACCACGCCATCATGGTTGTAAGGGGCAGAGGGATCGCTCTCTACCACTGGAGAAAAACCCGCAGAGTGCAAACGGGTGTAATTGGCACTGGGAAGCCTTAAATGAGGCTGTCCGAATTACACATCCATCCCCCAAGACAAGAAGAGTTGGAATACCCAACCACTCCATCTGACACCCTTGGTACCGGGCAGAGCCCTCGGAAAAGTTGCTGAGCTCAGTAAAGATCTGCTTGCTTCCCAGCTGCCAAGATTCCGCAGCAGTTGCTTACCTGCGGTTTCTCATTGATTTAAAACGATGTATTAAATCAAACAGCGAGAGAGGTTTATTCTTAAAAATCCCGTGCCCTGGGGTGTCGTACCAATACCTTGTGCTTCACTGGAGAGATAAGAGATGGGTAACAGGGACAACACAGCCCCACGCCTGCGATCACGGTTCACACGGAGATAATCCATTGAAGTGAGATCTCATCTGTTCACAACTCAAGGGACGAGTCCACACGGGGTGAACTGCAAGAACAGCTCTTCCTAAAGTTTTGCCAAGAGTTTACACAAACACTATAGGACTCCCAGCACTTCACAAACCTATTCCTATCCCATTTTCCTCCTCTTCTACCTCTGAGTCTCCCTGGGCCTTTATTTGCTGATCCAGGAGGGAGGAGATTGTGGCTGCACCCTTTAACAAGCCAACACAACCAGGTTTTGGGACATTCGATACGGCTCCTTTTGCAGCCCCAAGCGTAGGGCCTGCATACCCCGCCACGAGGCAACGTCTCGCCTGCTCCCCGCCTCTCCTGCCACCCCAGCGGACTGCGGAGCCCAGAGGTGGCCCAGAGCCACCAGCCACATTTTGGGGTTTGTTATGTTAAAGAATAGCCAGGCTTTGGATGTTCCTTGTTCTGTCGTGCAGAGAGACCCAAGGTCACTTCCCAAGGGACAATATTATATCACTGGCTCTCAAGTGCCGCACAGACCCATCTCTCAGAACCGATGTCTACAGCAGACAATGTATAATTTTGTTCAGACTACACAAGTTCTTTGTGTTTTAGCTTTTAATCAAGGGCTTGCAGCTATTTCTGGTCAAACAGCTTATACTTCTGGTGCTAAGGGGCAGTCTTATTTCTCCTTCAAAAATCTTATTTCCTACACTGTGTTAAACATTTAGCGCAGCCAGGCTTGCTTCCAAGCGCTGCTCCAAGCAGTCACGATTAGCAGAACAGCTTATCCTCCCCTTGCAGCTCCTAACCAACAAGCTGGATCCTCTTAGACGCAAGCTCGGGCTGTATTGTCCTGCTGGCCACGTGGCTCACCGCCATCCTCCCAAAGCAATTAACAGACACAGATATTGGTTCAGAGATTGCTATCATGTGAAATGCAGTAACAAAAGTCTCTTCCACGGTCCCTTGCTCTACCTGTGACTGTTTCCAGGGCAAGAAAAAGCGGAGTTCTCTGTGCACTGAACAAAGCAATCAACTTTCACAGAAGTTGAGCTTCCTACTACGCATATTTCTGGGGAGGCAAAAAGAATCAAGTGTCACATTTCTGGCAGTTTTATGGGAAGATTCTGCTATTCATGTATACAAACGCTCACCATCCCAGGTGAGTAATGTAAAGGTCTATGTCAGAAAGTTAGATCAAGCAAAAATCATTTGAACGCGGTGCCCTAAACCAAGCGTGTGGGCTTCAGGGAACAGCTTTCAGGCTCAGATCCTCCCACTAGATTGCCTGCTGCCAACTGCGAAGAGTTTTTCTCCAGAAGGTAACAGTGATTCAGCAACCTGCAACCCAGATTATGGGCGAGAGAAGATCAGTCGCTCGAGACGTTCCCCTGCTTTAGGGCTTCACAAATTACAGCCTCCTTGACTCGCTCCTGGGAGCGGGCGAGACCCAACGCAGAGCCCTGGAGATGCCCACCACATGGATTTGGGCTCTGGTGTGCAAGAGGTGCCCTGGGCCACTGACTTACAGACATCGTGGATCACGCAGCTAAAATGGGCCACGTGGTGGGCACAATCCCTTCGCATCCCCTCTCTGACTGTGCTGATGCCAACACGGGGACTCAGAGACCCACCACTCATTTTCTTTCTCCCAAATAACAGGTATCAAATTTTCAGTAATCTTAAACGTATTCTGAAATCCAGCTTCAGTGAACAACATCAGGCAGGAGTGTTTTCTAGAGCTCTGTTCTCATTTCAGCACAGGATTTTCAAGGCCAGCTTTACACGTCTCACCTCGGTGACGGCTGCTTTCTTCGGTGCCAGACCTGAGGAGAGAAGGGAAGAGCATCGGTAAAAGTAGGGACATCAGGGGAAAAAAAAAAAACCCAAAACACTGAGAAAACAGCCTAATGTTTTGCTCTTTCAAGCAAGCTGGAAAGCCTTTCAAAGCAGCTGGGTTTGCTGCGTTTTCAGTTTCAGTAGTGCAGGAATCTGAAGTTACAGGGGTCACCCAAACAATTTCATATTCAGAAGCACAAAGACGCACAATTTTTCCTAGCAATAACGTTTCCTAGAGGCTTCAGCAGAGAGTTCTTGTAAATCCCTGCTGCACCATAAGTAATAGGTCCCCACCACGCTGAAGAGTCGGTTGCATGCAGAAGCCCAGAGAGACACATATGAAACTGTTTTCCAGCCACTCAGAAGGCACTTGATGAGCTATATTGGTAATTGAATCTATTTATAGAATCTGATGTCCAAATATATTGCAAAAATGAATGCATCATTTATCTCTACCACTGCCTTTGGGAGAAGCCACCATTAGTCCATTACCATCAAGGGTGAGAAATTAGGATTTGCCTAGAGCTTTTAGATATATAATCAGGAGTTGGAAACATGGCCCAAACCCTCCTCTGACACGAGGCCACCTTTCCATTTCCTACCACGAGCCCACAGTTGCAAGGAGCTCCTCACTTTCAGGCAATGGTGAGAACAGGCTCCTCTGCCTGCAGGGCGGTCGCTGCCCTGCTGGGAGCCTTGTGTAGGAGCACAAGTTCCAGCCCAGCTGACTCTGGAGAGCCCCCATGAACCAGGACCAAGAGCTGCTTAAGAAGAGCTCCCCACCCCAGCAGCACAATGTCCCAGGGCAGGGCAGCTCCCCGGGCTCCTCCAGCCACCTCTGCAGGCAGAGCCCAGTCATTAGGGGAGAAGCCTGCTCGCATAGAACGCAGACCCAAGAGACAGATTTGATAGATTTAAGGCCAAGATTTAAGGCCATCTGTTTTCAGGTAGGAGCCTGCTGCTCCCTGCTCCCATCTGAAGCTTTCCTACAAGCACAGATCCTTAGGCAACCCACAATCCTTTGGAAAAGACTTAACTTCGCAAGAGACCATGGAGCAGAGCTTGAGAGTTTGGGCTGTGAAGAAGAGGAGCTCTTCCAAGCCCTCGACTTTTCACCACTTGAGGGCAATGGGTGGATTCCCCAACTGTCTGCCGGTGCGCAGATCCTCCGACTCAAGAGGGGGATCTCCACTGAAGCTGAGGGGGGTGGCCCCTCTCCCCCAGCAGATGATGTCCAGCCCTCTTGGCTGGAGAGCAGGAAAAGCCCCAGAGGGTCCAGCCCAACCTGCTGCTGCTTCAGCATCTCCCCCATCGACCACGGGGGAACTGCAATGGTTTAGGCGGGTAACTCCTCAGCCTCCTCAAATACAAGCAGCGATGCTTCAGGGCTCGTTTCAAAAGGAGCCTGAGCAAGAAGCTGGGCATAACAGGAGTGGGCTGGTCTCACCGTCGGGTCTCAGCAACCCAGGGATCCCCTGGTACAAAACAGGTCCTGTCAACACGGCGTTTTCAACCGCCTGCAATGCAAGCCCCCAGCCTGACAGCTCGGCCCGTGCTCGCCAAGCCAGAGTGGCACGGGAAGATTCACTTCTCGTTGGTTTTGCTTTAAATCGTGCTCTCCAGCGCCAAAGTCTCACATCAGGAACAGAATCACAGGACTGCAGCAAAGGTCTGAAATCCCGCTCCCCCTGCGCAAGCTGCACAACCCCACCTCAGGCAGGAGGCGAGCGGAACAGGAACCCCCCCATCACCCATCGGGGGTGCTCATCCCTCAGCCAAGGGGCCGTCGCCTACACAGGCGAGCGCCGCGCGAGACGGGCGATGCGAAACCCCGCCGCTCCCTCCAGCTCCTTGGGATCCTGCCAGCACGCAGCTCAGGACCACTGCGAGCTCAAACTCCACATCGGTGTTTGTGCCGAAAAATTAGTTCTTTGGCCCAAGACAACATAATTTTATGATCGCTCAACAAAAAGCCCCACCATGGCCAGAGGAGCAGGAGATATGGCACTGAGGGAGCATTTGGTTAACGAACTTCCAGCTGGAGCGGTAACTCAAGACCACAGGGGAGCCCGAAGGGGCAAATGCTGCTCCAGGTTGAACACTGGAAACTGCTGGGAAAGCAACACAGATAAGAAAAGCCCCTCCTCGCCACGGCCAAGACCACTCTCCTACTGCACTAATCTCTCCTCTGCACTTTGTCACAATTCCAGAGCAGGAGATTATCTTCAATTTTGCGATAATTACCACAAGCCGCTTTCATTCCCAGCCTTTAAGTGTCTGCTGCTGTACACGTACCAAATGTGGAATCAACACCAACCACTCGTGTGAAGGAAGGGTACCGGCGGTGAGGACCTGCTCATCTCCAGGAGAAATGATGCTTCAGGTGGACAAGAGCATCACCAGCAAAACCTCCCTCTTCCACCCCCTCATCAAAAAAAAAAGTTTAAAAAAAAAAAAAAAATTAAAAAAAATTTCAGCTTTACAAAAATCAACTTGCCTAGGCAGAAAATGAAAAATAAACCTCTTCCACGGGCTACTCGGTGCCTGGCACTCGGCTGCGCTCATCTCGAACAAGCTGACAGATGGCCTTGCGAAAACTGATTTAACTCCTGCTTGGGGGGTTACACAGCCCCGAGAGACAGCGCTCGGTTCGCGGGGGACAGGGGCTCTGCTGCAGGAGGTTTCAACGCTTAACAAGCCGACCAAAATGATTCTCATCGGAGTGAGGGTGTATTAGGAACGCGACGAGTGGCTCTGGAAGGGGAACCCCGGGATGAAACCCCAGCTTTCCGCCCTGCCTCCAGCTCGCGCCTGGGTTTTTCAGTGCATTTCATGCACGCTTGACCTGTTCCTCTTCTCATCTGCGCGTGGCTTTGAGTCGCCCCCATCCCAACGCCCAAGCTCCTCCAGAGCCTCAGAAACAAATGCTTCGGCTGCAGCATTCAGCAGTTCTCATCTCTTATTTAACATCTATGGGGTTTTTTTTCATATGCTTTATTCACAGCCACAACCACCTTGTCCATCCCCGCCATGATGCGCACACCCCGCAGGACAGGGATGAATTTACTCTCGGAAACCCTCTGCGCATTCACTGCCCGACGCCGAATTCCGCTGTGCCGGAGGAGCACAAACCCACGCAAGATGAGATAACCCGGCTCTCCTCTTACGCTACAACATTGCGTCAACAAATTGGCGTTGGGACCTTTGGCCCCTCGGCCCCCATTTGCACACGCTTGATTGCTCGCTCCCCGCCAGCAACGCGCAACGCAGGCGGGCAGGAGGGGTCCGCTCCCGAAGGAAACCCTCATCGTTACCAGGTTCGTCAGCCTCATCGGTGCTTCTGAGCTCACAAAATGGCATGGGGCTGGGGCCCGAGCAGCTCCCTCGGCTTCTCCACGGCCTCCGTAGGTGCTGTCACCAGGGGAATGTAAGTGATGGCAGAACTTAAGAAGTTTAAAAAAAGAAAAAAAAAATAATCATCAAATCTTTGGGTTTAAAAGGAAACTTCATGAAAACCAGAAAACATCGCCCATGCTGTCCACAACTTGGAATGAGTTTAAGTTAAAACCCGGGGTTTCAGGTTTCATTTACGTGCAGAGAATAAGTTTTAAAGTTTAATCAAGGGGAGGGGGGGAAAAAAAAAAAAAAAGTCACTCGGACACCTCAAAACCATCTACAGGAAGGGGCCTAGCAACCCCCCTGCGTTATAACCCCCCCGCACCAACCGCCTTCACCGGCGCTGCTCTTCTCAGCCGGGTCGGGCTTGGTTTTGGTTGGGCCTGGAAGAGCCACAAGAGGCTTCTGCCCACTGAGAAGGAATTTCTCCAGGAAGTTTACAAACACCCAGCAGAAGCCTGGCTTGAGACCTAATAAAGAAGTCTTCTTTATACGACAGATGTATACACCTGCGCATATGTTTATAAGTATTTGATGTTTTATGATGCCCTAGAGAAGTCAAAGCAAATTTGAGGGACTGGTTGATGTACCTGGCCTCCTTTCTCCAGGGTTCTGTGCTTCATTAAAGTGCCTATACAACAGGACTGCAACTCTGCAACTAAAGAGACGTTTGAATACAAACACTACGTGAGCTCTTCAACCTGGAGGCTGCACCAACATGACCCCCACCCCCCTCCCCGAAAAGGCAACGCAGCAGAGGTTTGCAGTGTGCCCTCGATCGGGGCGGTAGGGTCCGTAGTCAGACACGGTTAGCTCGCAGAGGACGGCTCTCCAAAAGCACAGAGCCAGCAGTTTGTATTTGTTGCTGTTGGATTTTCTTTTTTAATTTGTTCTTTGTTTTTAGACTACCGAGCTGACAGCAGCCTTTGCAGAATTGATGTTTAATACTAACGGGGCGTCATCGGCTGGAAGGCTGTGGCATCCTGACAAGTAACCCCCCCCCCCAAGGAGGTCTGCATCTCATACACTTCTTTGATTGAGAACGAGACGTCGTCACACACCTGAGCAACCCATTTAGACAATAAGAGGAGGCGAAGACAGAAACCAGGATGCGACGATTTATGGTTCGGTGGGAGCGCTCGACGTGCAGCCCCGATGGGCAATGCATCACGTGCAAGAGCATTAAGAAACCAGAGTGCTAAGGCACGAGCTGGGCAAGTTAAAGGCTGTGCTCGCGTGGCAGATGTGCTGCAGTCGAAATATAGAGGGAAAGGCTGGAAATGAAACGCATCCATCAAGAGAGACAGCTGTTACTTCTTGTAAGGGACCGCTGATAAAAAAAAATTAAAATTAAGGGAGGGGGAGTTCAGAGAAGATGCCAGAAGAGACATCTCGGCTGAGAAGCGGCGTCTGAACGAGTGCAGGCAGCCAGCCCGGGCTTCCCAAGGAGCCGGCGTGGGCGTCAGGCCCTGTCAAAAGGGAAAGGCAGGAAGCAACCTCCGAATTTCTCCCCGTGCTCGTGACGCGCGGCCCCAGCTCGCAGCAAGCAGGGCCAGGGCAGTCGTTAGGAAGGAGGAGATGCAACGGGGAGCAGAAGCCGGGCTCTCAGCGAGCTTCTCCACAAGGCAGCTATTTACAGCCTGCCCTTCCCAGGCACCCAGGATGACCTACTTCTGATCATTAAACGCATTTTCTTCCCATAAAACACCACCACAATTTGATTAGGATGAGAAATATCAAGCCACAACACTAAATAAAAAGTTTGGGGTTTTTTCCCCCCTTCAATGCAGCATCTCTCAGCAGAAAGAGCTGTAGCCGGCTGCTCTGTGCCCTGGGCTGCTTCTGCCATTGCAGAAATAATACGGAAATAAAGCAATCCGACCTAAATTCTGCCATTATACAGAATCAACATATAGCTTTGAGACCAAAACGGGCCCATTTTTCCATGGAGCACTTGCCGAATGACTGATTTTCAGGATCACCTATACAAAACTTGTGCTGGTTGAACACGAACAGCCCAAACGCCCTCTCCCCGCTGGCTGCCCCGGCCCAGCCCAGCGCTGGGGCAAGGCTCGCCCCATCCCTGCGGGGAGGAGGCTCCCGGGCACCCACAGCGCGGGCACCTCCATGTCCCTCAGGACGCCTCCGTCACCATCCGAAGTCCAGCGGTTATATGCAGACAGGTAGAAACGCTGGCAGCACCGGGCGCCGGTCAAACTGGACTGCCAGGAGCAGCCAGAGATAAGTAATCCCATTTAATCCCACCTTGGCTGCCCCGCTCTCCCCGGCTCCCACCCACGCCAGCTCTGTGCCTCGCTTTGCCGTTTCAGGCACACGGGAACCACCTCCACTTCGTGGAGGGAAGACGACGTTGGCAAACCATGAGCTGCTGCACCAGCTCCATGTGCTGCACTCTTTTCCCATGCCCTTTTTCTTGTGTATTTGAGCATAAACTTGTTAGAGAAAGGAATTTGCCTTGCACAAATTAAG